TCACTTAATTAGAACTAAACTTATCTTGTTCTAAAACATCAACCAATCAAATTGCTTATCTCTGCTTCCCTTAAGTAGAGAATCCATCAAGGCATTCATCTAATAAACACCTACACCAAGTGTGAACACAATGAGAGTTATTGTGTTCCAAAGTCTCGACCAATCAAATTGCTTATCGCTCTGCTTAAGTATTGATGTAATAAAACTATACACCAAATTTCATCACTCTCACTTAATTAGAACTAAAGTTATCGTGTCCCAAAGCATCAACCAATCAAATTGCTTATTTCTGCTTACCCTAAGCAGAAAATGATCATCAAATTAAAGCCAAAACATCAGCTAATTGTGCTTGACCACCATGATAACTCTTTTTCGCCTCTTCCTGAAATTATTTGCAAACTTTACAAATGATTTTTTCGCGAGCCCGTTCTGTTCCTCCACTACTTCAACAAAGTCAATGCCCCATCCATTAACAGTTTTCACCCTGATGGTTCGTTTTGTTGAACTTGAACTCATGTTTTTATCTGGCGACATTGGCTCTGTTCCATCGCCTTCGGCATCGGAACTAGACGAGGCGTCATTGCCTTTTTCACAACAAAAATAACCAAACAGTGTAGTCTTCAACATCATAATTTCGTAGCATACACCCTGCACGCATGCAGGATGGCTCCTCGGAACACGCCTTGTCCATGGTTACCGATGAAGGCCTGATTATCAAGCACTGTCTTGAACCGTAGCCTTGTTTATCGCAAAAGACTTGGCTAACGTCTGCTTATCGTAGTCTTGTATAATAAGACTGTTACGTGTTACAGCCATCTGTGGAGGGAGTAAACTACGAACAGCCGTGCATAAGAAAAAATTATCGTGGGAGGTTATTTGATCAGCCAAGTTTTACAAGAAAATGCATCTCATACGTGAACTTTTTCATTTATTTTGGCTTTCGATAAAGGTGCCATCGACGGCCATTTAGGGTAATTCTACAGCCAATGGCTCTCATATTTTTATCGATTTTTTTCCGCAATTTACGACAGCAATATTTGACCCTCGATGTAAAAGCTATCAAAGGCCATTGCTAGGCTTACAACAGCAATGGCTGCGATGGCCTTTGTGAATTTTGAGTCCTGCATCTTCGAACCCCATCAAGGCATTCACCTAATAAACACCTACACCAAGTTTGAACATTCTAGCTCAATTAGGAGAGTTATTGTGTTCCAAACTCTTGGCCAATCAAATTGTTATCGCTCTGCTTACCCTGAGCAGAAAATGCTCATTATCGGACTTAGTCAAGGTAATGACGTAAGGACACTATACACTCTCACTTAATTAGAACTAAAGTTATCATGTCCCAAAGCATCAACCAATCAAATTGCTTATCTCTGCTCATCTTCGATCTTTGAACTCCATCAAGGCATTGACCCAATAAACACCTACACCAAGTTTGAACATTCTAGCTGAATTTGAAAGAGTTATTGTGTCCCAAAAAGTGTGACGGACAGACAGACAGACAGGCAGACAGACAGGTGGAAGAACCCATTTTAATAGTCCCCTGCTTTCTTCGAAAGGCGGAGGACAATAACGCAAGACAAGTGTGTGTCGGCAGATGCCTTCCGCCAATCACACACTGAACATACGAGTATCATCTCTACCAACTACATGTTCAATGAGCGTCCTCGCTGGAGATAATGGGAGGTAATTAATAGGAGGCGCCACCATTAACCTGGTTCCACGTGACTTTTTGTTTACGCCATTGTCAATATCTTTATATTTTTTTAAATCCATTCACAATTAGCAATTAATCTCTGTGTTTAGATTTTTGAGGTTTGACCTTGAACGATATTTTTTAATGTGAGGTCACAATTTTGAGTCACAAATTTTATTTTTTAAATAACTGCAAAACTTTGAATTAATTCATATCAAATGTTGATGGAAAACGATTCAATTGATGTTTTATCAAAATCGGTTTGTAAACAAAGTATTAAGAGCGTGTCCGCGAGAAAACCATGCAGAAGGTGCTAAGGCTTCAATCACAGATTTTGACCAAATTTGGGAAAGTCCCAAAACACATGAATGTGCAATATTAGATAAATCTTTCAATTCCTGTATGAGAAAATTGAAAAAACATTTTTCGTATGGTGAAATTGCCAAAATCTGTCTTTTCTCAAATACCAACTTTGGCAAGTCCTTACACCTTTACTATACGTAGCAGAAAGACCAAACTCACACAGTTTATCGATGACTCAGTTCTGTTACCACAATATTAACTTCAGACGATTCTGGCAAACGAGATCTGTATACGGACTGGATATCAAAGCCTGTCTAAATTACCCATTTTTCGTCACCCAAAGTTTGACGCCCTATAGCTACTTCTTTCATGGGGTGGGTTTAAAAAATTTATGCTCACGTGAACAAGCAACCTCCCAACATTTGATACAAAAAATAAAAATGACCAGAATCGACTTGACAAAAACTAGGTAAAGGAAACAATAACCTATGAAATTAACCTGTAATTTACCTATTTTGGAGATAAGTAACCGTAGTAGATAAAAAAAAAACTAACAATTTATTTTCCTTTTCATTCATATGATGTTTACTACCAGCCCTAAAATACATTAGTATCTGTTTTATAAAAATATCTTGAAAAAAATACTTTCAAAGGCCTGTAATCGTTCATGGCGTCAACGGGAATTGACTTCTGCAGTTGTCCACGACCTTCCATTGGAGTTTCGACGTGCTCAGTCTTAACAAACATATCCATTACTCTCAAATAGACATTATTTTAAATAAAATAATCCAACGAAAATGAAAAATTCACCTAAAAGTGAGATTCGAACCACCAACCGCATGACTTCCCCCGACCCACCCTCTCACCGAGTTGCTTGTCCCAGTGCCCCAAGGTCCATGTCGTGGGCCCTGTTCAGGGGGTTTGCCTAGGGCCTCTCTTATTCTAAATCCGGCCCTGAAGGTGCAGCTGACGGTGCCCGAGAGCTGTAGCTACCATACTACACTGTTCAATGTCACCCACTTCGACGCAATTAGGCTTCGTTGCCGTTAATATTTAAGCTTCCACATTTCTGTATTGTAGAAATCAGTGGATGTGTCCCAAAATGAATAGTGGAAACATGCTCTGAAATTAAACATTTTGTAGCCATTTTCGGTAACTTGTTTGAAAATGAAATCTTAAAGAGACAATACAACAAATATGTTAAAGGGACAATACGACAATACCAAATATACAATAAATACAAATACACACTTATATAGAGTACAACATGGTACAAATAATGGCTATGGATATGATGAAAACGTATAAAAGTCAAAAATTTTATTTCTCTAATTAAATTCGCAAAAAAATGTATCACAAAAGCTTTTTTTTAGCACTTTTCAATAAGCTGTATATTTTAAGTATGTTGCATTCCGGTCATTTTTTTTACACCTACGGATACTATGTGCTTAGCACTTCAAAACCATCCAAAGAAATTCTACTTGCGACCATGAAAGAAAAAGTTACAGTGTATCTTTTTCTGCACTATAAGGACAATGTGAATATGGTATCCTAAAACAAGTCCACACAAAATTAGTATGTACTGATTTTTTTTTTCAAATTAGTGCTGGGGTAGAAGTTGACCACCCGCTTTATCAGACAGGGTCAAAATTAGAAGGTTGCTATTCCACCATAGAATGCAGTCTGTGCTTAAAAAAGGTGATAAATACACATGTGAAAACCGCAATTTTACCCATAAAATGAATAATTCCTGTACAGTCCTTTAGAGCGACATCAGACTGTAACCACTTCAGCATGTTACCTCTTGCCCCTAGGGGGTGTCATACCATAAGTTTGATCAAAAACTTCCGACCCCCCCATCTTAGCACTTTTTGCGATTTTTGCATGGTCTTCTCGCGGATACACTCTTAAAAAAACCCAGGACATTTTACCTAGTTGAAATGTTTTTCGTTATAACATACATGTACATGTAGCAACCTTTTGGCCAATTTTAATAATTCTTTTTCTTTAGATTCTTGACAAAATAAGTAACATTTTATGGACATTTTGACCCGTGGAAATGTTTCTTGTCATAACTTAGTGAGATTTTGGCCGAAAATAATAATTTTGTTGTTAGAGTGTTCACAAGGTTCTACAAAATGAAACAAGGACCATAACTATAGATGTTCTTAATGAAAATTGTTGAAATTATATACGCTTCTTCATCTCACTAATATAAACAACATATGATCAGATAATAAATGTAGTCTGTAGAGTGTTTATAAGAAATTATGGACAAACGGAGGCGACAGCAATGTAATGTGGACGTATAAACAGCATAAATGTATCTACTATCCAGTCATATAAAAATACCCACACTGCAGCTTTGTCTTAAAAACAAATATAGCCACAGATTGCAGTTTATCCAAAAGGAAAACTTTGATCTTGACAGAAGTTGCTGAGGATCCTTTAAGAAATCTAATCTAAATATTGTGGTCACAGGCTTTTCTAGCCACATAATGTATCTATGGAACAGAAATTCCTGGAATGGTGAATAAATCATTGGCTTCAAACAGTTTTCTGCAAGAGGGGCAACTCCAGAATATCAATAGGGTTCGTTCTCTCAACACCTGAATGTTTCACACCAAATTTGACCGGCAACAAAATATATACCACAGCAACTTAGTCATCCAAGCAGTCCACAGGGGTTGTCGCATGTATTTTTTTTGTCGATAATATACACATGCTTTCACCCAACAAACAGACAAAGCATTCACCTAATCAACACCAACCCCAGCACCAGAAAGACAGACAGACAGACTTATGCCACTAGAGGGTCCTGTCCACAATTTTTTTTAAAACTGATAACGGGCAAACACTCACTCAGCTTCTTCCTAATACTACAAAGATAACTTTATCATTTTCATATCTACAAGTCTTTTCAGAGTGGTCATGAGTAACAAAAAGGTCAATGTGGTTTTGTAATCACAAAGCCGAAGGATGTCACCATTAATCTTACCTAAACTCTATACATCCCACAATCTCCTGGGGTGCTGTCCACAACATCTTGACAGTTTGTTTTTTTACAAGATAACGATGTGCTAGTACAGTATGATCACATATATCATCTTCTAACAGATTCTGTACTCTTACATCAATTTTCGTCTACAAACAACAAAGAAAATATATTTAGCAATCATAATAATATACTTAATAAAGATCAGGCATTATGTAAAATTTCGATAAAGAGCTCAATATCTAAGCTTTCCAATGATTTAGAGTTTATTACAGCCTTGTTATGTGAATAAATGTCTAAATAATAATTTATATAGCATTTAATACAGAATGAACATTCTAAAATCAGTTCTCGATGTCAGGTTCTCCATAGTCTTCAGCACCATTTGTAATGAAAAGGCTTGATGAACACCTAACAAAGAAAACATATCCCACAAGTCAATGCAGAACAACTTCTGTTCTGTTAATTTTAATAATTTGGCATTTTCCAAATTCGATCTGGATTATTGCCTTTGTTATACATTTACTTCTTCAAAAATACATTTAAAAAATTCCATTTCTTCAACATACACAGTTTGACATTTCTTAAAAGTATAGGTAATTATATTTTGTGCAATGGTATACATGTAGTTGAATAATACCTATTTGTTCCTAAATTGTTAGTTTTAACCTTTTTAGTGTTGTCTTATCTGGATTATCGACCTTTTTAACTTATGATGTCAAGTGACAAGCTACCACCTTTACATAATATCATACAGATGACCGCCCTAAGGTCTAGTCACATTTTTTTCGATGCTTCCTTGTATCCTTGTACTCAGTATTGTTTTATTCTATTTTATAGAAATAAGGACTTACAATAAATACACTTGAATTTTTTCACACGCTTACAATATTTTGATACCTACATGTATTTCTGACTACTACATGTACATGTACACATGGCATTTAATTTTACTTGGCTTATTCATAAAGGTTTTTTCCTTCAATGTGCCTACACTGAGATTTCTTGTAGCACATAGCATCATGACTCACTCTATAATACAACGTTCGGGAAATATTCCCCGTTTTCTTGACTTGCTTCTCGTATTGTTAGTTTGTTTTTCATTTTGAGTGAAGTCTGTATAGGCTTGTGACTATACAGCCAAGTAGAGGCTTATGGCCATCAGATCCATACACTTTAATTGAAATGAAATAAAATGAGGTTTTACGTCCTACTGTTCTGCTCCGACAGGGCAGATGAAGACGGGCATACACCATATAGTGTGCTGTGAGGGAAATTTTGCACGGGCAGCGGCGCTATGGTTTACTCTTATATCGAATTCCAATTGCCAAGGGAACTTTAATGCGCACGCCAATGTGTACACAGAACCTCGGTTTTTCATCCCATACGTAATCTCTTGCCAGGCCCTCAATCCTGCACCACTGACAAGGATGAACCACGCCAGAAAATCCAGATGAACTTTCTCAGCCAACGCAGGGATCGAAAACTGGACCTCCAGGTTAGTGAGCCAACATCTTACCCACTGAGCCACCGTGTCTCCCCACTTTAATTGATATTTGTTGTTTATATCTTGCAATGTCTGTGTAGTCTTATCATGTTTGTTTTGCTTGTTGTGCGGTACAACGGCACTTACTATTGTAGTAGGGATTCCTTTTGGAACTGTGAATTTTAGCCATTTAAAAGCAGAAATAGTAGCCTACATTGTACAAGCATAATAAGCCCCTGTGTGATGAGATAAATATGGCAACTGTGTTTATTTACATTTGTTAATCCTTTTTAGGTAAGACTATATCTGGACATTTTTATTTGTTTAAATGAGTGAGACAAAAATGCTGATGTTTCAAAAATAACCTATCTGCAGAAAGATAGTTATGAGGACATCTGCATTCCAGTGTCTACATCGTTAATTAATGGCTTTGGAAATGGATTGAAAGTAACATGTTTATATCTGCTATCACTCTTGCAAGTTCCCAAGAGTCAAATGATGTGTTTGATAACAATAAGAGAACTCTAACTTGTTGAAAAGCACAGATCCATGGACGGACAGATGGGGATGAGGACATAAAAATATGGGCGTAATTATTGGCGGACTGATATGGCGAAGCCATAATATGCACCCAGTTAAATGTGAAATCGGTTTATATACATTCATACTACATTAACATATGCTTTTGACCCATTTTTGTCTATTTTAGGGCTCCAAATACTAGAGCAATAAGCCCTTTCAGAGTTGCATCGGTGCATCGGTAATTAATTATGATTATCCCATAAATATACAAGTTTATTGATTTTTCATAACTGGTCCAGTAAACTTCAGAAAAAGGCCACATGAAGACTCAGGCCCCATTCAGTTCATGCTCCAAGTGATTAGCCAATTTACTGTAATTTTCAATTACTGTTTCTGTTGAATGGGGTTTACTAACCCTAGCCTACATGTATTTCATACTTACATATACCTCTATTGACCCAATTCTGGCCTTCAAAACAGATCAAGAACCCCATGAGCTAAACTTAAAATTATTTCTAATTGCATGTGTGATGTGCATGTTACAAACATACAACATGTACTGTGTAAGCTGCCAAAAATAAAACCTCTTTTTTGTAATTATGCACAAACTACATGTACTTAAACTATGGGTATCAAAAACTTTTCCTACATTACATCTGGTTCAATAAAATCCATTGTACAATCAAATATTGCAACAAATAAATAAGTTATCTCTTGAAAATTCAACATATTTACTTGTATTGTCGACACAATAAAGGAATTACTTATCACAATCATGTATTGTACGAAACCAATGACAGCTGTTACAGGGTGGATAAAATTTTACCATGTGTTGCAATCAAAACAAATCACACTCATTTTGAACGTTGAGTTTGTACAACGAAAACAAGCGGTTGCCATGCAAGTTATGCCCACATTTTGCAAGGGATGGATAGAGAAAAAGCTGAACAACACCCCAACAGTGAGGCTGATGTACCCCGCTGAAATCCCAAAATAAATAGATGACACATATTAATTAATAGCACATTTATTTTTTTCAAAATTATCAAGCAATCATCTTTACACTAAGTTTCATCACTCTCTATCGGATAGAATCAAAGTTATCTTGTCCCAAAGCATCGACCAATGAAATTGCTTAGCTCTGCTTAGCTTTAGCTCGAAATGTTAATCACTGAACTCAGTCAAGATATTCACCTAATGAACATCTACATTAAGTTCAAACATTCTACCTTAATTAAAAGCAGAGTTGTTATGTTCCGAAGTCTTGACCAATCAAATTGCTTATCGCTCCTTAGTCATCATCAAACTTAATCAAGGTAATTATATAATGAATCTATACTCAGCGTTTCATCACTCTCACTTAATTAAAACTAAAGTTATCAACCAATCAGATTGCTTATCTCAGCTTACCGTAAGCAGACAATGTTCATCATAGAACTCCATCAAGGCATTCACCTAATGAACGCCTACACAAAGTTTGAACATTCTAGCTCAATTAGAAGGAGAGTTATTGTGATCAAATTGCTTATCGCTCTGCTTACCCTGAGCAGAAAATGCTCATTATCGAACTTAGTCAAGGTATTGATGTAATGAAACTATACACCAAGTTTCACCATTCTCACTTAATTAGAACCAAAGTTATTGTGTACCAAAGCATCAACCAATCAAATTGCTGATCTCTGCTACCCCTAACTATATCAAGGCATTGACCTAATAAATACCTAGCTCAATATGAAAGAAAGTAATTGTGTCCCAAAAAGTGTGACGGACGGATGGACGGACGGATGGACGGACAGACAAACCCATTTTAATAGTCCCCTGCTTTCTTCGAAAGGTGGGGAACAAAAATGCAGCTTGTGGTAGAATCATGGATTATAATCCAGGAAGTTACAGTCTGATGCAAGAATATTGAAATGAACCAAGATCTTTTGGATAAAAACATATATTTTACGTTTCATCAAGATCGGATCAAAATTATGACCTCTCAAAGTTCCACAACCTTGGTAATACATACATGTACTTTTACACTATTTGCGTACAAGTAGCAGCCATTTTGTCGGGTAGTTTCGTCTCATTTTCACGAAATTCAAACTTCACCATGATTAGGGTGTTAAGGTGATATATTTAAACGTATTTTTAAATTAGGCAAAAATTGTGACCTATAGAGGTTCCACAAGGTAAAAGATAGGTTGCCAGGCAACTATACATACGCCCACAGCAGCTAAATCGTCCGAGCGGTCGACAAGAGTTGTCGTATATTTGTTCTTTTGTAGGTAATTAGGCGGCATTTAATAGACAATTTCATAATTTTTATAATTTTCGTCGTTTGAGGGTTCACAAGGTTCTAAAAACTAAAAGATGGGCTGTAACTCTGGAAGTAATCTACTTTTTCGTTTTACTAATTCAAATAATACATATCAATTTCATACAGATCGGATGATAACTTTTGTCGTTCGAACGTTCACAAGGTTCAAAGTAAAACAAGGGCCATAACTCTAGAAGTAATTGAAAGAAATTGCTGACATTCAATAGGCTTCTTCATTTCACTAATTTAAATGATGCATATGAATTTCATAAAGATTGGATGATAACTTTTGTCATTCAAGCGTTCACAAGATTCAACAATGTGGAACAAAGGCCATAACTCCAGATGTAATTAACGGAAATTTGCTGAAACTCAATAGGCTTGTTCGTTTTACTAATTTAAATGATACCTATAAATTTCATACAGATCGGATAATAACTTTTGTCGTTAAAGCATTCACAAGGTACAACAAAGTGAAAAAAGGGCCATTACTCATGGTGTAATTAACAGAAATTGTTGAAATTCAATAGGCATCTTCGTTGCACTAATTTAAATGATGCATATCAATTTCAAACAGATCGGTTGATAATTGTTGTCATTAGAGCGTTCAAAAGATTCAACAAAGTGAAACAAGGGCCATAACTCTAGATGTAATTAACGGAAATTGCTGAAATTCAATAAGCTTTTTTGTTTTACTAATCTAAATGATGCATATAAATTTCATCCAGATCGGATAATAACTTTTGTCGTTAGAGCATAAACAAGGTACAACAAAGTGAAACAAGGGCCATAACTCACGGCGTAATTAAAGGAAATTGCTGAAATTCAATAGGATT